TACATCTTATTCAGCGTTGCTCATTCATCATATAACAGACTGGAATTTCCTTAATGGTTGATAAAGCGCTGGAATCCTCCTATTGGCCTAAAAGGCTACATTAAATTTATTCAGCTGTAACCTGACAGGACAAAATGATGGTGGCAATCGACTACCTGAAGATGAAAATATGGATCAAATATAAGACAGTTTACTCATGGACGTGTGATTTTAAAGTCACAGTCTGACACAGCAATCTAGCCTATTGCAGTGGATTATGTGTCTATATGCCTAGATTCAAACTGACAAACTGATGTCTATTTTACATTAATAAAATCTTGCTCATTTCGTATTTTATGAAATGCTGTCAAAACGCATCCAGACTGCAGCTAATAGACTAATGAAAAACTTACTTTTAAACTACATTTAGGCCTATTTGTTTCAGCTGCACCACAGTCATCCTCACTCAGAAATATTCACATCATATCCAACCAGATAACTACAATAGGAAGGTTCCAATCAGTGTGACTTCAATATGAAAGATTAGCCTACTGTTCATTGATCAGCAAATACAGATAACAGTGATTACTTTAGTAATATAGAACCCTAACTGAAACAAGGCCTTGCAACCTTAACAGCACCTACTCATAGCAACAGCAAAAGTAAAACATCTTGCATCATCTTGTCACAAGATCGCTGACGTAATCTGCACTCTGCGCATGCGTTGGCGTCTGTAGCCACCTGTCGGAAGCTCCGTCTTTTTTCATTACATTTCCTTTTTATTTAACTTAAGTTTTTAACTTAAGTTTTACGTGGGTTAAGGATTTTAGTCATCCGACATGGATTTTAAGCTAGATGACCGTAAAAACGCGATCAACACTACTGATCGCAACAAAGCTCCGGTGACTATGCTAGCCGAAATAACTCTGCCCCATGAGGACTGCACACTCCTTAAGAAAGCGAACAAGAAGATTGCTGACCTTATGGAAGACATCCAACGACTTTCAGAGGAACTCAAAGAGAAAGATTCCCTGCTGACTGGCTTTATGGATGTGGCTTCAGTACAAGCCAAACAGATTGTTTCTCTTAGCGCAACCGCTAACATCCAGGACACCGTGTTTTGGGACCCCTCTAGCCTTCCCAGGCTTTCATCCTGCTCGACTCCGAAGCATCAGTCAACCTGGGCTGAAGTGGTGGTCCGTGGCTTTAAGAGAGGCTCGGATGGGGCTGCCTCTCCTCCGCACATCGGCCTCTCCAACCGCTATGCAGCCTTGTCTAACGACACTCTGGTCCAACCAGCAGATGCACCTGCGGCTTCGAGTCTCCCTGATACGGATCTCTTTCGGCGCACAGTGCCTGCCGACACTGTTGCATCTCCTCCACCGGCTACATCTCCTCCGCCGGCTACATCTCCTCCACCGGCTACATCTCCCGCGCTGGGCCGCCGGTATGTCGCTGGGCCTGATCGGCGGCCGTCATCCCGGTCAAAAACCTCCTCTTCCCGACCTAGGATCCTGAAGGAGGCTGTGCTCAGACGCTCCGGAGGCCGTCTCTACCCTGCACCGTCGGGTAGCCCTTCTCTCAGGTCTGTTACTGCTACTCCAACACAACACTCGGCAGCTCGCACACTCCATCCTCAGTCCGCACACAGTGTTGAAGCAGATTCTGCTCAGTCCTGCTCTGGATCCCCACAACCGGCATCTCCTCATCCTCTTTTCTCCCCAACCACACTAATAATTGGTGACTCCATAACCAGAAACATCCGTTTCTTTAACGCTACCACTCACTGCTTCCCCGGTGTCACCACAGCTGACATTTTAAAAAAACACCAGGACCTGATGCCGTCGCTCCCATCCTCCATCACAAGAGTGATAGTCCATGTCGGAACAAATGACACAGCTCTTCGGCAGTCTGAGCTGACAAAATCAGATTTTAACTGTCTCCTTAGGTTGCTGGTACCTGTGCCGCTGACATGTCTCGCAGCGCTGCACCAGTACCTCAATGTCCCTATTCATGTGTGGCCAATACATCAGAGCTCTTGCACATCTCTTGCATTTCTCAATGCCTAAGTGTCCCTCATGTGTGAGTTTTGCCATTTGTGAGCGCATGGAGGTAGGTATGACAATACGTTTACCTCTCAGGAGTACACCACACACAACGGACAGCTCGTCTTTACAGCTCTGATATGGAATTGTCAGCTTCTGGTCTCTTGGCAGGTGGATTTTGTCCATTACAGCTTGCAGCTCACGGTCGTCTGCCGCTGCTTCGGCAATCTGTATCCATCCTGTTTCCTTGTGATCAGTCTCCAATACCACTTCTCTTCCACAGATGTATTCATGGAACTTTTCACATCCGAAAACTGCTCCTAGTGTCTCTTTTTCAATTTGTGCATAGTTTGTTCCACCCCGTTCATCGTTCATGATGCATGGGCCACTGGAAACCATGCCAAGTCATGTTTTTGAAGTAGAACTGCTCCAAGTCCATCTTTTGAAACATCAGTAGATACTTTCACTGGAAGCTCTGGGTCAAAGAATTTCAGCACTGGTTCTTCAACTAGGCTGTTCTTGAGCATGTCCCATTCAGCCACATGTTCGTGCTCCCACCGCCACTCAGTTCCACTTTCCAGCAAGCAGCGCAGTGCCTTTCTGTTAGCCGACAGATTGGGGATGAATCTTCCCACATAGTTGACTAAGCCTAGTGCATGTTGCAGCTCAGTCTTTTCTTTTGGTGGTGGCATTTCTGTTATAGCCCTTACCTTTTCAGGGTCTGGCTGTATCCCTGCAGCAGAGAGTCTGTTTCCCAGGTAAGTAATTTCACTCACCCCAAACTGACACTTTTGTTTGTTCAGTCTCAGCCCAGATTTTCGTGCTTGTGCAATCACTTTTCTCAGTTTTCTGCCCTTGTAGCGCCCCAAACGACCACATCATCCAGGAAAACTCCCTAGCTGGCTCAGCCCCGGGGTGCCAAAGAGCCAAACCCGGCAAGAAAAACACCTAGGTCCTGTGTTCCCTGTCGTTAAACTGGCCTCTGTCTGTCTCGGAAGCTGTGTTGGGTCCCGGTCCAGCCTTAGCGTCTATGGTGTTCATGCAGTGAGAGCTGAACCCATCTGCACAGAGTCTGGATTCAGCCTATTGGCTACTGTAAACACCAGTCAGTATCTGCAAGTCCCTCCCTGTCTTTGTGTTTTCAAATATGCAGAAGCATGTTGGAACATCCAAAGTATCAGAACTGAAGGAAAGAATAAATAAATAAATGGGGAAGTATATCAAAGAAAGAATAAATGAACAAAATAATAGGTAAATAAATGGGGAAATATATCAAGTAAAGAATGAATGAATAAAAGAATAAATAAATAAATGCAGAAATATATCAAAGAAAGAATGAATGAATTGCTTTTGCCTTTCCCCTTAGAGACCTAATGTCATTGCTTTTCCCTTAGAGACCTATTGTTATTGCTTTTTCCTTCCTCTTCCTTAACTGCCAATCAACGTGTTGTGGCCCACCCACTAAGTTCAACTAATCACTCACAGAAGTATTTCTCTCCATGATCAGAGATATATAAAGGTCTGACACACACTCCATACCAGTTGGTGGTGATAATGCACTAATTCGTTGTTTGCCAACTGACAATAAAAGCACAAGGAAGAAGAAGAAGAAGAAGGAAGGAAGAAGAAGCTAATGTTAGACAGAACCCCAGCACATGTCAATGTGATCTAAATGCAGAAGTCCATTTACCGGAGATAACTGGAAGAGAGAGAGGGAGAGGCAGAGGTGTTGGAGGTGCAGTCAGGGCAAGGAGAGGCAGAGGACCTACCTAGAGTGATGGCTCAATAGAGGACGAAGAAAGAGTGGAAGCCCTCCAAAGGAACCCGAGGGCTGTTACCGAGGTTTGTATTTATAAGGTTGTTGTAACGTTATCATATTCTGAACTGTTCGCACTTTATGACAGACCTCAGCACACAGTGATAACGTTATTTACATAGCAGCTCTGTGCACATGTACCCTTGTTACTGTAACGTTAGATAGTAGTAACATGTCATTTACTGGGCAACAATGATTATATGAAGCCATGTTAAACAAGTTGAGCAAACACTGGCCAGCCTGCAAACCCTAATATGCAGTACCAAGTTGCCAACATAATGTCATGCAACTTATAAAGCCTTATTTTATCAGAATCCCAAATTCTTTATTGATACCCAAGGGGAAATTCTTGGTCACAATTGCTAAGCTTGCATGTCAATTAAATATACAAATTATAAAATCTAAATCTAAATGTAGGTAATGTGGACATGTAAAGTAATTTACAGCATCAACAGAAGTGTAATGATAAATAGTAGTAGTGCATTAAATACTAACAGTAATAATGAGTACCAGTATATTTCATTTGGAATCGATACAATCTTAAAAACAACATCGAGACAGAGTAACCAGAGTATTGAAGCAGAGAATATTGCATATTGAGTATTTTTCCGTGTCCTCTTTCTTCAGAGACTTCTTCAGGAGATGACCCTTGAAGAACACAGAGAGCTCTCCATCCTTCTGCTGGAGAGGCAGCCAGGCCTGGTCTTTGATGCCTTGATGATGCATCAGAATCAGAAGGAGCTTTATTGCCAAGTAGTGTTTTACACATATGAGGAATATGGTGTGGTGATAAGGTGCTACACGTAGACAAACATACAGTCAACATAAATAAATAAATGTGGAAATATATAAATATGGAATTGAAGAACAACATTGCAGATATATACATGTGCATTATTCTGGGTCTGTGCTGTGCAGTAACGTAACGGAAGAGAATTGTGTACATATAAATATATAAACTGACAACATAAAAATATAAAACAACAGCGCAGACATGGTGCCCCACCTTCTGCCGGAGTGGCAGGAGCACCTTGGTGTACTTGTGGTAACTGTAGGGAAATGCTGTGGCCAGGAAAAAGCGAACTGTGTGAGCCTACTGCCACACATCTCCCAGTACTGCCTTGAAGAAGGCTTTATTCGCATTCACAGGCAGTACCGGGAGGACATTATGGGATTAGGCAACATCAGGGAGCCTGGGGATGACAACAGGGAGTCCCGCTATGGTGCCTATAGACACTTCATCTCTTGGCAACATGGAGCTTTAGGCCAGGGAAACCAACTTGTCATCCCTAGTTGTTGTGTTTGGAGGATCAGAGACAAGTTCCCTGATCCTCAAGGACACTACACGGGTTTTATTCCTGGACTGTGAATTTCCTTCCAGGCCCTCTGGCATGGTCATACAGTTTCACACAAATACTCACAAACCTGCCTCATGAGCAGTAAGCATAAATATTACTAATTATTACTAAATATTACTAATATACATCAGTGTGAAAAAGTATAGCCACACTACCTGAATCGCAGATAGTTGTGAACATCTTTCTGCCACCTCTTATTGAGAACTATATCCACTAAAGCTTTGTGGCACTGGGAGTCTCTCTGGATCCACTTTCCCCGCATTTGCTCCGATTCAAGGTGCCCGTGTTAGCAATTTCCCATAGTCCAGGTGTGAATGTTGCAGACATAGTGAAGGATGCCAACCCATAATGCCTGCAAAACATAAAAATGCACTATAAATATGTCCTTAATATAGCAATTAATGAAATTACTCAAAGATATAACAAAATTGTGTGCTTACAAGAAACTGCCCACGTGTGTCGGCAGTCTTGCAACACCACCGAAAATGGTTGACTATGTCCTTCAGCCAGTTGAAGAGGATGGACTATCCTTTCATCTTTGCTGCCTTGAAAAGAGAAAAAGAATTACTGTAAAATACAGGCATTCAACTATAGTCTGAGTGTAGAGGTGAAAATATAAATGTTCAACCCCCCCCAGGAGGGTCTTCATGTGCAGGCAAGGAAGTCCATCGATAGAGTGTGCTTTCTTCAGTGCTCCACCCATTCTGTTGTAGCACAAAAATCTGTAGTAAACAAACACCACAAAACAATTTCAAATTGAGAATGAAAAATAACACACCATATAGAAATCGGTGGAAGATCCTCTTCATCAGAGCTGAAACCATCATCTCTTTCAAGGGAGTAAGGGGAAGCTTCATCTGCCCAATCAATTCTTTACATAATGACAACTTTCAGATTAAAACAAGTTCTCAAATAATATCACTGAAATATAAAACATGTAATTAGGAAGTACTACTTACACACTGTTCATTGGGTCATTGAAAACATTTTCCTCCAAGTCCTCCTCAACAATGCTCATGTCATGTAAGCTGCAAAAAACATATTACAAATATATATTATGAACATTTGGAGAAAAGCAATACAGGGCTAAAAGTTATGATGTGTACATGTTACCTTTGTTCAAGGCCCTAAATTTCTGTGGCTTCTGGAATGACATCAAGATGCTCATCTCTGTAAAGAATAACCAGAGTAAGTTGTGTATATCCCACACATGCTCATTCCACAGTAGATATAGACCACAAATAAAATAAAATTACACACTAATCATAAAGTTCATGTTTCTAATCAAAGCTATTAGGACAAAATTAATATATTGTTATGCATGACTTACCGGTCTGTTCCACTAGAAGTACCAATGCTAGACAATGCTGGAGCTGGGATTTGCAAAGGTTTTCTCTTCAAGGGTGTCGATGTTGCAGGACCTGTCTTGTAGCTGGAGAAACAGCAGCATCAATAAATGAAGTGCTACATGACACAGTCGCATATGACTGTAATACATTACTGTACTGTAATCCACAATGTATTACATCTTGGTAGGGTTTGCTCATCTGGCCTAATAAATTGAACATCCCAAAAACTATCACATCTAGTGTAAGTATGATCACCGACAGACAACATGGAAAACGTAAGCCAAGAGTGTGTAAAAATGTCACTGTTTCTGTACCACAGTCCATTATAAACCACATCATGGGTAAGTTTACAAAGCCATAGTCAGGTGAGGATCAAGGGTGCTCTACAATATAACACATATAAGTACTGAGTGCCATAATTTGAGCTTGTGGTAACCTTTGTATGCACCGTAGAAGCAATACAAACAAATATGTTGTTTCTAATGTAAATTCTGACAATAAGCATAATTAGTCACTTGATAGGCACACAGTGTTGTTATCGTAATGCTGTTAGCAGTAAAAATAAATGTCTTCCACCAGGGCAGTAAAAATTTAGTTTGCTAATCTGAGCCACCATGCTCCATGCAATGTTACGTTTTTTTAGCTAATTGTAATAATCAGCTGATTGTCTGACAAACACAAAAGACACATTTCTGTCCACTAAACGAAGCCGAAGCGCGAAATAACAATCCAACTAACTTTACATATTTCTTCTAACAGGGTAGTAAAAGTTTAGCTGGCTAATAGGAGTTGTTATGCTGTAGGCTAACTTATGGTTTCAATAATACCAATCAGCTGATTGTCTCACAAACATAACCAGCACATTTATCCCCACATAGCAAAGCCATAACACAGCGAGGGAGAAGAACCACATGAAACTATCCAACTACATATTTTACACCGCTGACAAGGGGAAAGTCACTTCTCACGGTGTCCATGGTAACATTATCAAACAAGTTTTAATTTGCAATGCTGAAGTTGGAATACCTTACCTGTCCATCAGAAAACAGGCAACTTCGGCGTCGCTTTGAAAAAATTTTTCCCTCATTAGACCCTTCTATCTGGGAAAAGCCACACCAATGTTTACCTGTGATTTCTGCCTGCGTCGCTCCCGTATAAGTCTGGCTTCATCATGCTTTCGCTTCTTCGAAGCAGATTCATCCTCCGTCGGCTCTTGTGCTAAATAATAGCTGTGGTCCTCTATTTGTCCAAAATTCCACCACTAATAAAGGAGAGCTTCTACTACTACCTAGTAGTTAGAAACTTACAACTTCTTCTTCTGCTGCTGCTGCTGCTCCCGCTAACTTCTTCTGCTCTGTAGCGCTGTTTGTTTGCTGTCGGCTACGGTAGAAACATGATGACACAATATGTCAACCAGCAGGGGGTGCCAGCAGTGTATGTAGCAATAAATAGCTCATTCTAAGGTAATAAAACCATAAGGGTTCATTATGCAAGGTCTTTATACACCACTGAAAACATAGTTATGGATATTAAATTGCATTTCTGTCAATAGATCCTCAGAAATATTACACGCTGAACATTTAACTAGTAACTATAGGCTATTTATGTTATATTAAGTTGTTGCAGTCAAACTGCCATCCTTTTAATTCACACCTAAAACACTTCTGAGGGTACAGCTGTGTGTACACGTTGTCACAGTTAGCCATGGTTTTCGTTCACTTTTGGCGTCATTCACCACCATGAACCTGGAACGCTTTGATGTAGGAAGTCGGCAGTTTCAACTGGGAAAGATACCTGTTCTGAGTGCTCTCGAAAACAGCATAACTCCTTCTAAACTTTCTACCAATCATAACACTCTTCCAGGGACTTTCTTACATATATTTCCCCATTTATGTATTTATTCTTTCATTCAGTTCTGACACTTTGGATGTTCCATAGAAAACAGCACATTCCTGATCATTCCTGAAATCAAATCAATAAATGTATACTAAAATCTTTAAAATGTTATAAGAACAAAATGAATCAGTTATTTATTGTGAATGAATCATTAGGCTACATTTTATACGATTAATAAAGTGTTATTTTTCTCTTTTAAACCAATAACTTGCAAAACATTCTTAAAGCCAACATGAAAATTAATCGTGATAAGATTGTGAATCGTGATCTTGCCTAAAACTAATCGTGATATGATATTTTTGCCATATCGCCCACTCTTAAATATAGCCCATGGTAAGTGTTTCAGTACAACTGTTGCCAACCTTCCAAGTTGCCTTGTGTCCATAGAGTCACAGTGTTATAAAGAATGACAGTGTAGCCTATAGATTTATTCTGTGCTGAGGATAAATCCACAATGTCCAAAGATAACTCTCATCAGTGGCAGATTGATCCTAAAAGCGGTCATGTTCAAGATGTCTGGGTAAATAACTAATAGGCTCTTACCGGGATTTCAGTGCTTCTAAAGATGTAAAGGCAGTCCAGTGTTCGCTTTGATATCAGTAGTGTATGAATGAGAAAATGAAACAGTGTGTCAGGCAGCTTCAGGCTTTGCAGGAGGGGAGGAGTAAGAGAGAAACTCAGCATTTGTTGAAACAGAAAACCCAGAGCTTCCCTCATCTTGAGCTGAACATTCTAATTATAACTAATCCCGCTTTCTGAAACAGGGCCCAGGATGACCTGAAACCGCCATACTCATATACTGGTGCGCCGTCACCTAAACACAGCAAATCACTCACACAAAAACCACATAATAAGGCAGAATTGAATGTGCGCACACAGCTATCACATGCAGTGAAGGGGAGAGGGGCTCCCACAGTCCACCATCCTGTCTGTCTGGCAGAACACTAGAAAAAGAGGGGAAAAGGCCTGAGGTCATGCAGCCCAAAGAACTTGCAGTACCTTTAACAAATCCATCTGGTTCTAATGAAAATCCACATAAAATCAGGGCACAAATAGCAGCAGATGATCAGGCAGGCAAAACAGCAGTGGCTTTACAACTCTAAAATCAGCTAGTCAGACAGACACTACAAAGACAGACACTACAAAATATATCTGCTAAATACCTTACAGTTATTATTTACCTCAAACAATGCAGAACATAAACAACAAAGATCTGACTCCACCTCATGCAACAACGAAACATTTAAGGCAACTGCAATGTAAACCAATGTTATCACAGGCAATGTACAAACACACACACACCTACATGTGAATAAAATTGCATGAACTACTAGGTTCCCTAGAAGAGAGAGACCCTTGCTCCCTGTATATCAGTTCTAAATGAGACAGTATTCTCCAGGTGTGCGCCTGCTAATGGAGAGGCAGAGAGTGGAGCTTCCCAGAGAGGAAGAAACTAGATGGTGGCATTACTAGGCAAAAGCCTACCCATCACACATGAATTATAGTCATTAGGTGCATTTGACTACGCCGCTACGCAGCCCTGACTTAACGTGATGAATGCTGGACTCAACATAAGGCATGCTAGTAAGAAATTGTTTCTGACTTTCTGCAAAACGTCACCATGTCACATGACATTACTCACCAAAAAGAAACCTAACAAATGTGAATGCACTTCTTTTCTCTGGTAACACTCCCAAAGCTGTTTCCATCCATGTTCACAAGCAACTACTCGTCATCTTTCCTGCCTTTGTTGGGGCATTACTGCAAATCTTGCTGTGTTACTGCCACCTGTAGATCACTGGAATAGTGTACACATTATTGGCAGGTGTTCTTCCTTGTGCACAGGCAGTGTCGTAAGAACCTTACGGCGCAAGAGGTGCAATTTACCAGGGCCCAGCTGATTACAAGGGCTCACAATTGCCACGTGGATCGTGACCGAATGCCTTCATCCAGTCATACATACTGTGTTGGCATTATGAGTTGTTGTCCTTTTCTTGATTGCTATTTGTTCTGTGGTTATTTACATACTGTGTCAGCTACTTTGTGTTGATTTGTTACTGTGTTGGCATTAGCTATGTTTTTTTTGATAGTCGGAAACAGCAGGTTTGAGTCCAGGGCAGGCTGTAAGATCTGCACTCCATGGTGATGATCAAAGGGTGCAGGTTTGCAATTGCGTGGAGTCGTGTGTCTGAACCCTTGTGTACATGAATGTGCTTCAAACATGATAAATGTGGCTTGTGGGTGTGGCCATGTGGTCGATCCAAATTCATGATTGGTGGGTCAAACCCACCAATAGAAACTCTTATCTCGACCATTTTTGACAAAACATTTCGACTTGCAAAACTATTTCACTTGCAAAACTTAGTAACCTGCAAAACTTTCTGACTTGCAAGGAAAAGTTTTTGACTTTGACAATTTAAAGAGGACTGATTAGCAATCAATACAATACAATGATTTTGACCGTTCTTTTGTGAGTCTGTGAATCTCTTGTTGTGAATTATTTTGGAGCATTATAGCCTAAATTGTTATCATTAATTACTAGAGCAATGGTGGTCTACATTGTCAGTGTTATTTTATAGTGTAAAGTTAGGATCACAGTGTTAAAACTCTATAGCAGGGGTATTCAATTAGATTTCAAAGAGGTCTAGTTGGAGAAAATTTCCTGAAGCAAAGGTCCGGAACATCAAAACGACGAACTTGCGTTATCATTCAGTACTATAACCTATAGTTGTATCAACACATGTTTTTAGTCAACAACGGACTGTCAAATCAAATAATATTTCAGTGAGGTTTTCACATCAAACTGGAAGGATAATAAATAATAACTAATCTAAAAAATAAATTCTAAATTTAAGTAAACTAAATTAAAGTGCCT